CTCTCTATATATATATATATATATATATATATATATATATTGGGGAAAGAGCAACGGTGGCTCCCTACGCGTTAATATTTAAAAAAGATACTAGGATTGGGAGGGGGAGATATATATTGGGATAGAACAAGGGTAATCTTATTAACGCAAAGAGGGGTATAACCATTATAGGATTTACTAGCAAAGAAACAAATAAAAATAAAATAAAGGGAAAAGGCTTAACATACTTGGTGCGATCATGCTGGACCGGGTTGTGGGTAATGCAAATGCCAGCCTTGTTATCACATAATAACAACGGGGGAGTGGAGAATGTCATACGTAATTCGTGGAACATGACGCGTAACCAAATATCTTTACAAATTCCCAGGGATATGGACCGAAATTCGACTTCCACATAGCTCTAAGGAACTACATACTGCTTCTTGCTTTTCCACATGACCAGGTTTCCCCACACAAATGAGCAGTGCCCCGAGGTAGATTGTTGATCATGGACGGGCCTAGCCTAATCCGCATCTGTGTAAACTATAATAGAATGAGAGGTGTGGCGGGAAAAAAACAAATCTGGCCTGATTTGCTTTTTAAATAGTGGAGAATCTGGTGAAAAACTTGGAGGTGATGTTCATAGGGATCATGCATGAATTGACTAATTATCCCAACTGCGTGACATATGTCGGGGCTTGTATGAGCAAGATATATGAGTTTCCCATAAAGCACTAGTAGCGAGTATTGTTTACAGGAATTGCATTGGGAACATCTAGAAGTTTTTTATTTGGATCCGTCAGGACAACCACTGGTTTGCACAGGAGAATATTGTTCTTTGTCAAAATGTCCATCACATATTTATACTGATACAGACAAATATCCTGAGATGACCGAGCAACTTCCATACCTAAGAAGTACCAGAGAGATCCCAAGTTCTTCATTTTAAAGGAAGCAACAGACATGCCTTACAGAGCCTTCAATGCTGGTAGATGATTACCTGTGAGAATTAGGAGTGTAAACGAGCTGAACACGAGCCAACGTGGGCTCAGCTTGTGTTTGACTCATTAAAAAATACCACTGTTCGTGTTCGACTCGTTTATATTTCAAACACAAAAAATTGTTCGTGTTCGGCTCGTTAACGAGTTGTTCGCGAACAAAATACCATTTTGACTCCCTCAAGCTCGACTTGTTAAAAAATATCATTTTTTGTGTTTGACTCATTTATATATCAAGCTCAAAAAATTTGTTTGTGTTTGGATCGTTTGCTTACCAAGTCGAACATGAGCTATTCACGAATAATGAGTTAATTTGACAAACCTAATCACACAGTCGTAGGATACTAAGAGTGGGTCGAGATTTAAATTTATGATTTGTATTAAAATATTCTTTTAAATAGAATTTAATATCTTTTTATTCTATTTTTAATTATTAATTTTAATTGATTATAAATCTTTGTAGCATTATAGTCAATTAAATTATTTAAAAATGATACTCATGTTCGCCTCATTTATATATCAAGCGCAAAAAAACTGTTCATGTTCGACTCGTTTGCTTAGCAAATGATCGAGCACGAGCTGCTAAACGAGCTGAACACATGTTCGCGAACAACGAGCCATTTTGACAACCCTAGTGAGAGCAATATTGTCAACATAGACAATAAGGATAGATACTTGACCGTTGGAGGGATGCTGAAAGAAAAGAGTGTGGTCCAATTGACACTGAGTGAATCCATGGCTTACCACCACCTTTGTGAATTTCCCGAACCATGCCTGTAGTGATTGCTTCAATCCATAGATGAATTTTTGCGGTCTACATACTTGCCCTTAGGAGGCAGCGGAGTCAAAGTCTGTAGGAGTCATCTATACCTCCTCTGTAGATTGCCATTCAGGAACACATTCTTAACATAAAACTGGAATAAGGATCAATCCAAATTCCCTACAAAGGATAAGAGGAGCCGAATGGTGTTTAATTTAACAACCGGAGCAAATGTCTTCTCATAGTCAACTCTATAGGTTTACCCATTCGCGATCAACCGTGCCTTGTTGTGTTCAAATGATCCATTAGATTTAAACTTGATGCTAAAAATTCATCGACATCCTATTGCTTTCTTATCCTGAGGAAGATCAATAATGTCCCAAGTATGGTTTCACTGAAGGGCATTCATCTCTTACATGATGGTAGCTTTCTATGTTGGGTTTGCTAAGACAACCTAAATAGTAGATGAAAGCTGATGATTGGTCAGAGCCGTAGCAAATGCTCTTTAGGATGGTGATAATCTATGAAGAGAAACATAGTTTGCCATGGGATAGAGTGTTTGATTACGTATCTTACTAGAGGAGCTGACTTCCTCATTTGAAGTAGGAGCAGTGATATGGATGTCGTTCTTGGGGGGGGGGGGGGGGGGGGGTTGGAGGTGGCGCGAGCTCCAGAGTAGGTGCATCATAACGAGTGCCTCGAGTGTAGACACAAAGAGTGAGAGGATGTGCTGGCAGAACCAAAGAGACAGAAAGCTTCTTTGTGGTAGGAGAAGTGGGTTGAACCAAAGGAACAATGAGTTCCTCGATAGTAGGTGACGTGGGGGGAACATCCACAGGAGTAGGGTAAGTAACAATATCCAAGAATTCTAGCTGTCTCTCACTGGAGGCCAAGTTAGGAAAGTAGGGAACACTTTCAAAAAATGAGACATCAACACTAACATAAACCTTATTTGTGGTAGGGTCAAGGTACCGATACCCTTTTGAGTGGCAAAATATCCTAGGAAAACACATGTTATGGACCTTGGATCAAGTTTACTCCGAGTTGGAGCTGTGTTTTGAATAAAAGGCTGTGCAACTAAAAATTTTGGGATGTAAGGTGGAGAAGTCTCGATTAATGGGAAAGCACAATCTTAAGACGACTAAAGGGATACAAAGTTGCGAATTTTTTAGGGAACTCTATTGATGAGATAAGTGGTGGTAAGAATGACATAATTTTAGAAATGTTTTGGAACGTTAGAGTGAAATATATTGGGGCGAGCAACGTTGAGGAGCTGTCGATTTTTCCTCTCGGGTACCCAATTTTGTTGATAAGTGTTGATACATGAGCTAGGACGGAGGATGCCCTTACCAAGAATTCTCCTAATATAGAGTTAAAAAATTAACTATCATTGTTTGTTCGAAGGACTTGAATTTGAGTTTTGAATTGGGTCAAAATGAAGATGTGAATGTTTTTTTAGAATGACAATAACTTCAGATTTATCTTTTAAAATAGACCCATGCAATCCGAGTGTGGTCATTAATAAAAGTAAGGAACCACCGTTTATTGATATAGCTAGGAGTGCGAAAGGGTACTCATAAGTCACTGTGAATATGAGAAAAATAAACGAAAGGTGTGTAATTGTGGCATGGATAAGGAACACAATGACTTACGAGAAGGATTTTTAGTTAATTGACAGGTTTCACATTTAAAATTGGAAGATTTTTTATTAGTAAACATCACCGAATACAGTTGTTGTAGATACTTGAAACTAGGATGACCAAACGACATTGTAACAACATAATAAGACATTCCAATAAGACATTCGTTGGACTGAGATAAGCTACAACTACAGGGTGGAGTGTCCTCATTTTTCGTGTTATTCTCTTGAAAGAAGTAGAGCCTGCCAACCTTAACGGTTTCAATCATCCTCCCCGAACGATGATCCTGAAAGAAACTAATATTAGATAAAAAATGAGAAACGCAATCAATGTTATATGTCAGTTTATTGATAGATGGAAGATTATATTTCAGTAGATATACATATAATACAGATTCCAAAATTAAACCTGTTGTTTAAACAACAGATCATTTACCATCAATGGAATTTTGGGACTCGTCGGCAATTTTAACAGTGTTTTTCCCTGAGCAGGGATAGTATGTCGAGAAGGTTTTTGAGCTTCTAGTCTTGTGGTTCTTGGATCCTGAATCAATGATCCATGTACTAGGAGGGGCAAAAGAAATGAGTTTCATAGTATTGATACCTTACCGAATGTGGGAGGTCGACAAACCAGAAGAGAGTCAACTGGTTCCAAGCAGCTTGATTAAGTGCTGCTCCATTTGACTTTTATGAGAATTGGAGGATTCCAAATTGTTTTTGGTAGAGGCTAGTTGTACTGTGTTAGATTTAGAAGCTGTAGTGAAACCCATGACAACTTAAGATTTGACTAAAGGTTTAGATGCAGGTTTCTCGTGGAGCTTCCAACATTTATCAGGAGTGTGGTTGGATTTGTGACAATAATCACAAGTGGGGTGGTCGATTCGGGGTTGAGCACTATTAGAGACCAAGGCGGATACTTCTGCAGACAGAGTGAACGCACTAAGCATGACAAGTCTCTGGCTCTCTTTGCGACGAATCTTAGTGAAAGCAGTGCGAGACTTCATCAACATCTTTATTGAGACCTGCCAAAATTGAAACATGCGGTCCTTTTCTACAATTTTTTTGAAGTGAGATAGGTCGTCCGAAGATTCCTAAGTCAGTCATAATACAGGTTGCATTCCATCTATAATGCAACTAGATTATTGTAGTACTGGATCACATTTCTCGGTCATTATTTTGTCTCACGGTTCTTCTTAGATACCTCATAAAGTTGGCTAAAATTTCCTATATCTAAGTAGGTATCACGGACTGTCGTCCAGAGGACACTTGCAGAAGGAATGAACATATATTATCGACCAATGAAAGTCTCCATGGAGTTGATTAGTCATGATGTGACCATAGAATTCTCCACTTCCTAATATATTGTCAGTTTTTGGAGGTGCACAAATTACACCTGTGAGATAACCGAATTTTTCATGTCCTTTGATGAACAAGGACACAAATTGAGACCATTGAAGAAAGTTACTTTTGTTCAATTATAAATAAGAAGTTCATGGTGTTTTCTGTCCTCCGGTTTCCAGATGAACGATAATTGAAATTGATTCTCCAGTGGAATCAAGAACATCTTCTGATGACGACTCAGTGCTAATGGAGTCCGCCATGACTCCAATTGAGCCAAATGAGATTTTAGATTGTTGAGAAATCGTAAGATTATGGTTGCCAGAGGGAGGAAATATGTTCTGGGGAAGGGATTCCTGCTAGAAGAAGATCTTCTGGTCGGCCGGAAGAAGGTTCCGACAGTCATATCACCTGTATTGGAGAGGCAAGAGGTCCAGCGACTGATTGGAGAACACGGGAATATGTTCTGGTGGCTCGATTAATCTGCGGCTTAATTAATAGGTTCTAGCAGACGGGAAATGGGAAGACTGGATATAGGAACCTGTTCTGGGAGACGAAAGATGTTTTTGATTAAGTTTCAATAGCTCAATTAATAGGTTCTCGATTAAGTTCTCTATTGACATGTAGTTGCAATCTAGACGGGAATCTGGACGGGAGACATAGATTTAAGCGGCTAGAAGCAGATCTAGCCTGCTACAAGGTGAGCCCGATAGCTGTTAGGTTAGGGTCATGGCTTTGATACCATGTAAGAATAGAACCAAGATAATCTTATTGATGCAAAGAGGGGTATAACCCATTACTGGTTCTACTAGTAAGAAAATAAATAAAAATAGAATTAAGGGAAAGAAGGAAAGTAAATAAAAGCAAATCAAAGTAATTAATACAAAATTCTGCATATTAATATTCTAATTATATATATATATATATATATCTAACCACCTAAGCATGATGAGTGGTCCGAAACTCCTGTCATAGTTGATGTTTGAAAAAAAGTTACTTATATATTTTTTGTGTTTGAGAAGTCTAATCTTATTCGAATTATCTGATAGTTCAATCGTTTCTGTTGTCCCTATTGCAGTTACTTATTCCATATTTACATTCATCTGATTGAAATTTATTAAAATGGTCTATGAATGATACTTTTTACACTGATGTACAGGCAATTTTTCAGAGATACCCTCGGCCTGAGAAGGAATGCCAATCATTTTCTCTTATCTATAGCGATAGGTCACTGGATCTTGTAAGCATCACTTATTTTGGCACTTCTTGTTACATTCTTATGAGATTATTAGTTGAAATTGGCTCACAACTTGTGTCCGTCTTTGTATAATCATAGATGTTGTATTGTATTTTTGCTTTTATACCAGATATGTAAAGACAAAGATGAAGCTGAAGTCTGGTTCGCTGGTCTGAAAACATTGATTTCACGTAGCCATCAGCGGAAATGGAGAACAGAATCAAGAAGTGATGGAGTATCATCTGGAACACATAGTCCTCGAACATATACGAGGAGAAGTTCACCTTTAAGTTCTCCTTTTGGTAGCACTGATAGTATTCAAAAGGTAATTTTGCTCAATTCTTTTAATTTGAAGTACTTTTTTACCATCTGTCACCGTCCTTAGTCTTAAATTCAACTCAGGATGGAAGCGATCCGTTACGAATTCGGAGCCCATACGATAGTCCGCCAAAAAATGGTTCGGATAAGTCGTTCTCCGGTGCAGTGTATGCTATTCCTCCGAAGGGTTTTTTCCCATCAGACTCCGCTTCTGCTTCAGTTCATTCATTGTCATCTGGATGCTCTGATAGTATAAATGGAAACATGAGGGGTATGAGTATGGATGCATTTAGAGTTAGCCTTTCTAGTGCTGTGAGTTCATCAAGTCAAGGATCCGGCCATGATGATGGTGATGCTTTAGGCGATGTTTTCTTGTGGGGAGAAGGAATGGGTGATGGAATTTTAGGTGGAGGACATAATAGAGTTGGAAGCTCTTCTGGCCATAAAATGGACTCCCTCATTCCAAAAGCCTTGGAATCTGCTGTCATTCTTGATGTTCAGACTATTTCTTGTGGTGGGCAACATGCTGCTCTCGTCACTAAACAAGGAGAGATATACGCTTGGGGTGAGGAATCTGGAGGAAGGCTTGGACTAGGAGTGGACTCTGATGTATCACAACCTAAACTGATTGATTCTCTAGTCAATATGAATATTGAACTGGTCGCTTGTGGCGAATATCATACTTGCGCTGTTACGCTTTCCGGCGACCTGTACACATGGGGTGATGGTACTTTCAACTATGGCCTTCTCGGTCACGGAACTGAAGTGAGCCACTGGGTTCCAAAAAGGGTTAATGGGCCTCTCGAAGGTATTCACGTCTCATATATTTCGTGCGGACCTTGGCATACAGCTGTTGTAACATCTGCGGGACAGTTATTCACTTTTGGAGATGGAACTTTTGGTGTTCTAGGTCATGGGGATCGAAAGAGTGTTTCGATACCAAGGGAAGTCGAATCTCTGAAGGGGCTACGCACAGTACGAGCGGCCTGCGGTGTTTGGCACACTGCTGCAGTGGTTGAAGTAATGGTGGGAAATTCGAGTTCTAGCAGCTGTTCTTCTGGCAAACTTTTTACGTGGGGAGATGGAGATAAAAATCGGCTCGGGCATGGTGACAAGGAACCTAAACTCGTGCCTACCTGTGTAGCTGCGGTGGTTGATCCGAACTTTTGCCAAGTTGCTTGTGGCCACAGCCTGACTGTTGCCCTTACAACTTCTGGTCATGTTTACACAATGGGAAGTACAGTTTATGGCCAACTCGGAAACCCCCATGCTGACGGAAAGGTCCCTCTACGCGTCGAAGGAAAGCTCTTGAAAAACTTTGTCGAGGAAATATCTTGTGGCGCTTATCATGTTGCAGTTTTGACTTCGCGAACCGAAGTTTATACGTGGGGTAAAGGTGCAAACGGCCGATTAGGCCATGGGGATAGTGATGATAGAAGCACACCCACATTGGTTGAAGCATTGAAGGACAAACAAGTTAGAAGTGTAGTTTGTGGTACTAATTTTACAGCAGCTATCTGTATTCACAAGTGGATATCTGGTGTGGATCAGTCTATGTGCTCGGGCTGTCGTCTTCCATTTAATTTTAAAAGAAAACGTCACAATTGTTACAACTGTGCCCTCGTCTTCTGCCATTCTTGCAGTAGTAAGAAATCCCTTAAAGCGTCCATGGCTCCGAATCCAAACAAACCTTATCGTGTTTGTGATAGCTGCTTTAACAAGCTAATGAAGGCATTTGAGAATGATTCCACGTCTCATTCTGCAGCTAGTAGGAAAGGAGGGGCTGTTCAAGGGCTGAACGACATGGTTGATGAGGAAAAGTTTGAGTCGAGATCTCAAGTACAAATATCAAAATATTCGTCATTAGAATCTTTAAGGAGTATGGATGGTAGATCTAAGAGAAATAAGAAACTTGAATTTAGCAGCAGTCGCGTTTCTCCAATTCCAAGTGCAGGCTCAAATTGGGGCGCTCTTAACTTCTCAAAATCTTTCAATCCAGTATTTGGAACATCAAAGAAGTTTTTCTCGGTCTCTGTTCCCGGATCAAGAATTGTCTCTCGTGCAACGTCACCTATATCGAGAAGGCCCAGCCCTCCTCGTTCTACCACACCAACACCTACCATTGGAGGATTAACTTCTCCAAAATTTGTTGTTGATGATGCAAAAAGGACTAATGACAGCCTAAGTCAAGAGGTGCTTCGATTGAAGGCCCAGGTAGGCATTTTAGTTGCAGCGCAATTTAGTCGAGCTTGGACTGAGCTTAATACTTCGTCTTGTTTGGCTTGTTTGAATTTTTTCTGTTCAAAATAGGCTTGTGAATAACAGTTTCGTGTTTGGCATGAATCAAATTCATTTATTTGTTTTAGCTCTTGTGCGGCTCAAAATTAGCTTGAATAACTTATAAAATAATAAAATTTAGCATTTTTTTGAAGACAACATAAAAAAATTAATATAAATAGTATAATAATAAATTTATTTAATTATTTAATTAATTCTAGCCAAAAATGTGCCGAACATAATCAATCAGATATTTGTTTGTGTTTGACTCATTTATAAATAAAGCTACAAACTTTAGCTACATAATGGGCTGAACATAAGCTTTTTTGATTATCGAGTAATTTAGACAGCATTAATTATGGTTGATGCTGTTTAACTCTCAACATTCCTTTTTAACTGAGACTTTTTCATCAGACTCGACTTTACTACGTTAGTTACTAATACTCAATTAGAATATACACCACCCATCTTTTCTGGAGTGTAGAAACAAAGAATTCATTTGTCCGTCATCTTCATGTCTTTTATTGGGTATTACTGTCCCGTGCAAACTAAACCACTAAGTAATTGACACAATTTGTCCTCTTTGCTACTCGACGCCATTTTTTAGATTATACCGTATTGAATATTATCAACAATATCAGTACTTTTGTAGTATATTCAAAGTTTCAATAATTTTAATCACCTAAGGTCATTTATTTTCTTTGTCAAAGCATTTACATATTTATGAAGGGTCTGTTTGGCTGTCAACATTAGTAGGATTTTGCATTCCATTTCTCATTATTTCAACATTTTCTGCGTTTGGCTTAAACCAAAAAAGAAATACACTGCAAAAATTTGAAGGGTTCTAATATTCCAAATACTCAATTTTCCCTCTATTCGCAAATTGCTCAAAATTGGTGATTTTCGAATTGTGTGCTCATGATTCCCGCTTTCCTTTGCTATTGGCCAGCTACACGCCTTCCCCGCTCTCCACCTTTGCCTCCCGTCTGTCATTGCTGACACCCTCCACTGCCACCTGTCACTTAATGCCTATGAAACTTATCATAACAAAATTAAAAAAAAAAATTTCAACACATTTAATTTATATCTAACTAAAGTGTTAATATGTCTTTAAAATTCATGCATGTCAATTACTCTGTGTTTCTAAAACATACGTATTTTAATATTTTCAAACCAAAATGCTGCAACTCTTGAATTTGGACTTAAATTTCTGTTTGGACAATTTATGGAAATTAAAAAATACTGAAGTTGCTGCAAGAGTTTGATGATTGCCTGTTTGTAGGTTGAGAATCTCACTCGGAAGGCTCAGCTACAAGAAGTTGAGCTGGAAAGAACGTCAAAACAGCTTAAGGAGGCTATTGTAATTGCCGGAGAGGAAACTGCAAAATGTAAAGCAGCAAAAGAAGTCATCAAGTCTCTCACTGCACAAGTAAGGTTTTGGTTTAAAGATCAATTTAGATTTTGGTTTTGGTTATACCCTTCTTGGCCTTTTGGCTAAGATCAAGTGTAACTTCTGTTAAACTAAATAAATAAATGGTTTCAGAATAGATCGTTTGAGCTTTTACTATTTAGGATAGCTTTTAAGTCAAATCTATACTTGACTTCAATTTCAAATCACATTTTTTAAACTCTTATAAGTATAATTGAAAATAAAGTGTTGTTATATGAGCTGTGAGTGCATCAATATGCCTGCAAAGAGGAGTGGTTGGTGGCTGGAAACAGAGAAACGGTGTTCACAACAGTATTTGAATGGAATAAATTTTGAGATGTTAATAAAAGTAGGGATAATATTTAGAGAAAAGAGAAAAAAAGAAGAAAAATAGTTTGTTTATGTAATAATGGAGTACTATTTTGATGAAGCTTAAACATGAATTTTGCCATAAATTTTCTAATAATGGAGTACTATTTTGATGAAGCATATGTATTTACATATCTAACGTTCCATGGATTGTTTTGATCTTCCTCTCAAAACATATATATTTTGAGTACTTTTTAGCACTACTTGTTTATTGAGACCATGGAATGGAAGGAAACTTCAACATTTATCTCGTCTAGCGTATCCTAGTAGCCATGTGATCATTATCACCTTTTGCTGTTCATAATTACTATTAGTAATTTAGATATGCTTATTAAGTGTGATTGTCTTGAATTTTAAGAGCCTTATTTTGCTGAGGCCTAGTACTTCAAACATGAGGTAGTGCTGCTTTGAGTGAACCAAGCACTTCGATGACACATAACAGAAGAGTAAATTGCCAAAATTGCCCCCTAATTATTTATATGGTGCCCATTTAACCACAGAAACTATAAAAGTATCAATTAGCCTTCAGATTTTAATATGGGCTGAAATAGTCCTCCGTAGGGATTAGTTCAACCCATATTACAAGAGTGAGGACTAAATTGACGTTTCTGTAAACTCTGGGACTAAAATGACCCTATGCAAAAATTCAGGGGACTATTTTCATACTTTTCTCCATAACAGAACTTCATCAACTTTTCACTCTACATTACAAGTCTTCCCCTCTACCTTCTTCGGTTAACCGGTGTCATATGAAGAGATAGAATTCTAATTGCCAATAGTCTAATTTCATCTTTATTTCACTGCACATTCATCTTATGTTCTCTTTATTTTACAATTTTTGCAGTTGAAAGAATTGGCTGAAAGACTCCCCGTTGGAGCAACAAAAAATTGTAAACTTTCTTCGTTGGCATCCCTAAGCTCTACTCCTGCCATTAATGACATCTCTGCTGCAGCCATTGAGCAAATGGGCAACTTCATTAATACTCATGAGCCAGATTCAAATGGACTAATGGCCAATAGTGGAGCTACTTCCATTGGCCATCGAAACAGAGGTGCTCATTCTGAAACAACGAAGAGTGGAAACAAATTGACAGATGGAGATACGAATCAAGAGTCTGAATGGGTTGAGCAAGACGAACCCGGTGTTTATATCACACTAACATCTTTGCCAGGTGGTGTTAAAGATCTTAAGCGTGTTCGTTTCAGGTATGCATGCATCTTAAATTTTTGTATGGAAGATTTACATGCATACCTCTCAATTGTTATGTATTTACATATCTAACTCCTATACTTCAATTTTTATATTTTTGCCACCTTATCTATACATGAACAAATGTATTTAAAGTTAAAACAGTAGCATTTTTTATGTGATATAAAATATTTGAGTGGTATAATTGTATAATAATCAAATTTTAGTTGTTAGATAGGTAAAAAAATAAGAATTGGGTGCTATGCATGTAAATGCCCCTTTTTATGTTTTGCCTTGCTTGAAGCATTTGAAACTGAACGAGTAAAATTATATGCTTATGTTTTATTTTAATTTGTTTTTTTTTCATCTGTTCTCATTTTTTCATTTTATTTTGCTTTTGTTTTCGCATAAAATAAAAGCATTTTTACATGATCTATTTATTTTCTGTTTACATATAGAAAACATATTTGAATACCAAAAGAGGAAACATAACCATTTATATGTAATTACCATAATTAATTCATCTGATTGCTAATTATCATGATCAAATTTTATTCAAGCCTCGTGGATTTCATTTAACAAATTAATTAGCAAATTTTTTAGATAAATTAACATTTAATTAATTAAACTTAAGATAATTAATATTTAATTAGATATGTGGAATATCTTAGGATTTCAGTTGTTTTAATGCAAATCTTGGATGCATGGGAACACAATGGATTTGTTTAGTCTAAAAACTCTTCGGAAAAAACGTACAATAAATTTTATGCAAATTAGAGTATTCTTAATGCTCACTTCAAATGATAATTTAAAGAGCATCCAAAATTGAAATATTTTAGAAAATTTAGATCTAAATGAAACCACTCAATGATTAGGCTTCACAATACAACAAGCAAAATTAAATTGTCAAGCAAAACCGATGAAAAAGAACAAAGGAAGAAGTCACCAAACAGAAGATTCAGGTCTTTGCTAGTGCAAGGAGAAACTTCCCCCATAATTTCACTTGAAGAATTCATATCGAACAACACAATTTGTGCGAAAATTTAAATTTCATTAAGCAATAGGATATATTTTTCATAAAGCGTCGACCATTTGATGATCTGAGTAGGAGAGTAGATGTTTTAGATTCGACTTATGTTAACACAGAGGTAGACCTAGGAAGACTTGGGCTTATTGTATAAAAATCTTCTTAATTATATAGAACTAAATGAAAATATGACACTAAATAGGACGCAATGGAGAAAAAGAGTTCATGGAGCCGACCCCACGTAGTGTGATTAAGGCTTTGTTGTTGTTATTGTCATCGTCTAAAGGAATCTCTATAATAAAAATGACTGAAAATTTATATTTTTATAAAATCCTATACTCTTAACAACTTGATTCCCTCGAAGATTAAAATTTTCAATCCTAGTTTCCATCATATGCACACGACTAGGTTCTTATCTTACAATCCTCCAATTTTTAATCCAACTACAGTAAAAAAATTGCAAACTAAGGATTCTTGTATCTCTGTTACTTTGGAAATTTGTATATAGGAGGAAACTAATTAACATAGACATAAAGAGCCACAGGAGCCTAGCCTGTGAATCCTTCATCTGGACCAAATTGGTCCAGACCTGGGAGGGCCAACTGGCTTTTCCATGTTAGTTTGGAATTTCCTTTCTATAAGAGAATCAAATCCTAGTTATCTTGGGCTTATATATTTGATTCTTGTGTTTAAGTTTTCAATTTTTTTGTATGTGTTTTCTGTCGGGATAGTCGTCGGCGTCATTTTCCTCACTTCTATAGCTATATCCAATGGAGAGTGGTGCTCCGGTTGTATCTTATTTGAGGTGGTGATTTTCTTCCAAGGGCTGAGTGGTGTTACGACTCTAGCTCATTCTTGAGGGAGTATTTATCCTCAACCTTCTTATCCCCCGCATCCTTCTTTCACCGTTGTTGCCTTCAAACTTGTTGTAGAGCCCACCACAAAATAACACTTGGCTATTTCCTTGCAGCCCCCCACCTCCACACTTTCCCTAACAACCCATCCAACCCCGTGCCACTGCCATCTTCTGGCCACCTTCTTCCCACCTCCTGTCCATCACCAACTCTTTCTCTAGCAAGTTCAACCCCAATCACCCAACAGCTGCAGCCCCTTTCAACCTTCCCATCCCACCCCCGACATAACTGTTCACCATCCTTTTGGAGATACAATCCTAGTTGAGTTTAATGTCATGTCTATTGTTATTTTATTTTTTCTGGTGTGTTGGTTGTAATTGCATATTGGCTTTCTTGTTTTTAATAACAATATTTTTTTTGTTGTTATCGCTTTAGATTAACTTTAGTATAATTTGGTATCTAACCCTAGCCATATTTTAGGGTTTCTAGCATCCAACTAGACCCAATCTTATCTTCACCCAAATTTTTGTTTCCCACTCCACGTCACTCTACACATCCTTCTACCTATCCACACCCTATCCCTAAGTATGTATCGGAGGAGGCAATTGTTGGAACATGATCAAGAGTTTATTATGGACGAGATGTAGCAGGAATTTTGTCGAGTGCTACAACGACTCGCTGATATTTAGGAAAGGATTCAAAGAGAGGAAACCTTCAGCATGGTGGTGAGATCCAACGAAAAGAGAGAGAGACACGCACTTGGATACCTTACTTAGGTATGGTTCAAAGGAGAAGAAGACATGCCATGCCAATTTAGGATACAATATCAAAGGAGGCTGAGAGGTGAACTGTATGTTGGAGGATATAGAGGTGAGGTGCCTGTTAGAAGATACATAGACTTGGGCATGAAAGTGGACATATCGGATTTCAAGGGGAGGTTGAATCTGTATGACTTTATAGAGTGGTTGCAAATTGTCGAGAGTGTTTTTAAATATGATGTGCCTGATGATCGGAAAATGAAGCTTGCTACTATCAAGTTTAAGAAGAGCACCTTATTGTTGTGGGAGAACCTGAAGAGGGAGGGAAATAGAGAAGGAGCATGATTACTACCTGGGAGAAAAAGATAAAGAGAGTTTCAGCGACAGTACCTACCCCACACTACCGTTAGGGTCTTTTTTGATGCTTCACAACCTACAGCTGATCGACCTATTAGTGGAGTACACAATGGAGTTTATTTAACATAAGTTGAAATGTGATCTGCTAGAGCCAAAGGAGCGCACGATAGCCAGGTACTTGGGAGACTTGAAACCTGTCATCGACAACATGGTTCAGCTACAACCTTACTGGTCTTTGAGTGATGTTCAGACTTTAGCATTGAAGGTGGAGAGACAGAAGAAGCAGAGTATGCACCCACCGACATTCAAACTACCACCCATAATTAGAGACATTAGTAGGAGCATGTCTTCGAAAGTTGAGAAGACTAGGCAGGAGAATGACAGTGTCACTCAGAGTGAGAAGTTTGAGAAGAGTAGTGTGCCCACTACAACCCAAGCCGAGAAATGTTGTAGATGTCATGGATATGGGCACATCTGTTCGACAAGTCGAGTTGTATTCTTTACCAAGTAGGGCGCAGTAGACGAAGCTAGCGACAAAGAGGCAACTCAAGAAAATAGGGAGGACCATCTTCCATCGGATGTGGGAAAGATGATTGTGGTTCAATGGGTTCTACAGGCTGAGGCTACCAGGGATCAACTGTGGCTTCGTTACAACATATTCTGCACTCATTGTACTGAGACAGAAAATGTATGTAGTATCAAGGGAACAACAAGAATGTGGTGTCTACACAGATGTTAGACAAGTCTCACAACTCAGAGTCACTCACAGTCATGCTGTTTGGCGTGGTTGAGGAAGAAGAACCGAGTCAGCATTGACAGGTGTCTCATGGAGTTGTCAATTGGAAACCAACTGCAGGATCAAGTTTGGTGTGACGTGATGCCCATGGATGCTACCATCTTTTGTTATTATGGAAGTTTAATTGTCAAACTCAACATGAAGGTTCAAAAATAAATAAGTGCCATTATTAGCAGAGAACTACCAGTAACATATGGTTTGGTGATAATAGAGGAAAGCGTGATAGAGGCTCCAATTCCAAATACAGGTCAGCCACTACCGAAAGCATGTCATGAAGTCATGATCGATACCTTAAAACCATGGCTACCACCGTCAGGAGTTCGATATATTGTTGTTAGGGAAAACTACTGCGAAAGAGTATCATTTTTAATTTTGCTGCGGAATAGGATCACAAGATTCGAGAAAACAAGAACAAAAATTTAAACACAGAAGCACAATCAAAACAACTAGAAAACACACAAGAATTTTTACGTGGAAAAATCCAAGAACGGGAAAAAACTACGGAGCCACACCACCAGAAATTCCACTATGAAGTTCATAAAGTTTAACAAATGCCTCACACAAATGTCTTCTCTACATTCACATGAAGAAACTTACAGAAATTGCAACAACAATATTCCCTCTTTGATCTGATGAAAAAAATCAAATCGAATCACCGAAATCCATCTCTTCAACACTCATCATCTTCACCAGGATGCTCATAGAAGAATTTAGAAAAACAAAAACAGCAAGCTCTCCAATCCATGCTAAGAAAATGTCTTAAAAATCAATTTTTCATGTAGCAACCGCATCAGACTCTTAGGCGCCAAAGCTGTGTGAAGCGCTCTGCATTGGTCCCCCATAATGGGCTCCTAGGCGCCAATAGGCGCCCGTCTCTCGAGAATAAAAACAAAGCCTACTCTATAGCAGACTCATATGCATCCAATGGCGCCAGCTTCTTTTTTCGAGCAACACCCAACTGGGCGCTTAAGACCACTACCTGACGCATATGCGCTGGGTGCTTTGTGCTTAGGTTTCGCAGCACAACAATCTCCCACATGGAGACTATAACACCCCGCACCAGTCATGTACCTCCATCTCAATCATCTTCAGAATCACTTATTGTGGTCACGTATAGTGGTGTGGCTCACACCCGATCTCAACCTTCACGAAACCCAACTGAAGCTAAGCACAGTTTCAGTTTCTCAACAATCACCACCTCCGTCAACATATTCGTCGGATTCTC